ATAATTGGTCGAGGTCCCGAGAGCCTCGGGTGGATTCTAGATGATTAACGGATTAAATTTAGACTTGTGTTAATGGCTGAAGTGCACCAGTTTTAATGCAATCGCACCTGCGCAAGATTGACTGCGGGTGTGAGCTCGCAGAAGCGAGCATTTGGGCATAGATGTGGGGCTGAGGGAAATGGCATGTGGTCGCAGGTGCGCCTTGAAGGTCGTATAAACGGAGTCGATTCCATAGAAGAGTGATCACAAAAGCGGACGAGTGCTTGGGAGGCATGTCCGCAGAAGCAGACGTGTTTGCGTAGATGTGCACCCGCAAAAGTGGGCTTTGAACTGCAGAAGCAGAATTGAGCAAGGAAGTTGGGACCAGAAGTGGCTTGGAGGTTTGCAGAAGGGAGTCCGCAGAAGTGGAGTGAGGCGACGCAAGAGCCGAAGAAGCAGCAGATGCGGGTGAGTGGTCGCTTCTATGACACCGCAGAAGCGGAAGTACTGGCAGAACACTTAAATACTAAGGTTCGCGATTTTGCTTCATTTTAAACATTTTGAGTTCGGGTCATGGCGATTTTTGAGAGCATTTTCGAGAAATTTCTTGAGGTAAGTCTCTTGTGCTCATTTTTTATCAATAATCTTGTTTCCCCATTAATTATTCTACCTAGTTTGTGTGTTTAATTTAGGTGAAATTTGGGAGTTTGAGGCTAGGAATTTGGAGAGTTTAATTTGGGGATTTTAGTGGCGACATGGTGTCAGATTTTAATTAAATTGGTATGGTTGGACTCGTGGTCGAATGAGTGTTGGTAATTTGTGACTTTTACCGATTCCATGACGTGGGCCCGGTCGACTTTTTGGGGCGAATTTTTAATTCTTTACTAAAGTCGTAGTTTTATTATTTAAATTAATTTCTTGTAGTTGTATTTCTAGTATGTAATTGCTTTTGGCTAGATTTTGGCCATTCGGAGTCAGAAAGTCGAGGGAAAAGCATTCGTATTGACTGATTGAGCTTGATTTGAGGTAAGTAACTTGTCTAATCTTGTGTGGGGGAACCTCCCCTTAGGATTTGGTAATGTTGTAATAATTTGTGATATGTGAGCGTCGTGTACACGAGGTGACGAGTGCGTACACAAGATAAATACGGAAATTTCGGTTCTTGATGAGTAGTCTTGTTTTAAATTCCTTAACTGAATTGCCTTAGCATGTGTAGCTGTTATATTAATCCTAGTATCGCATGTCTACGTGTCTTAATTTTTACTTGAAATTTGTGCAACATACTTAGTTGAATTACTTGCCTCTGTGATCTTGTATTTAGTCTTTAACTGTATGATTCCTTGTTGTAAATTCGTTGTTCCATAGGTTACGAGTTGTGTATTTACTTTTGGGATTAGGAGGCGGTATCTCGGGAGATCCCTTGTTGCATATTTACTTTTGGGACTACGAGGCGGTACCTCGAGAGATCCCATGTTGCATATTTACTTTTGGGACTACGAGGCGGTACCTCGAGAGATCCCATGTTGCATATTTACTTTTGGGACTACGAGGCAGTACCTCGGAAGATCCCCTTGTTGTATATTTACATTTGGGACTATGAGACGATACCTCGGGAGCGCTCCTGTTATTTACCTCTATTTGCTGTGCTGTTACCTTTCTGAAATTTCTTGTTGTTCATTTTTCAATTATTTCATTGTATTATTATATTTTCTGCCTCATTTCCTTTTATTCCAGTAGGGCTCTGACCTGACCTCGTCACTACTCTACCGAGGTTAGGCTTGGCACTTACTGGGTAGCGTTGTGGTGTACTCATAATATACTTCTGCACGTTTTTTTGTGCAGATCCAGGTTCTTTCTACCAGGCCAGATACCAGTGAGTTGAACCGTACGTGGAGACTTCAAGGTATATCTGCCAGCATCCGCAAACCTCGGAGTCCCTCTCTATCCTTATTATGTTGTTTTTCTTATTTTCTTTAGACTGTGATGTATAGAGACACTTAGTATTTTCTCTTAGAAGTTTGTGACTTATTTCTACCGGATTTTGGGAGTTGTAATTATTTGAATCGCAGTTTCTATTTATATATCATATGTTGAGATTTGAGTTCAGTTTTATATTTATTTATTCCGCAAATTGTTAGGCTTATCTAGTCTTAGAGACTAGGTGCCATCACGGCATCCTACGGAGGGAAATTGGGGTCGTGACACCCGGTCTTTCGAATAAAATTTTATATATATACTAGTATTTTTCTCAAAATATCTTACATAACCAACGAGTGGCACCCAAAGTCTCAAAATGACTGAAGGTGCCATGGTTGAAGTGCGGAAGTCCCACACGCAATATTTAGGATCGAGACTCTCCGGATGTTTTAGTTTTAGTTGTTCACCTATTACTTCTTCTTTTTATGCTCCTTTTGTTAATTTCTCTTATTTTCTTCATCTTTGTTATTATTATTTTTTTTTTGTACAATCTCATTTTTATATTATATATTTGCTTCCTTTGTCTTTTTCTCGATCTTCAAATTTTATTTGGATGTATTTTAATCACTTTCTCTTTTTATCCATCTAATGTTATTTTATTAATTATAGAATTTTTTTACAGTGATGCATCCAAGACATAATATAATATTAATTAGTTTGCATGTAGATTGAAGGGGTGTATCACATATTCGTTTATGCATAAAAATCTTTTAAAATTGGATTGAATAAATTCAAAATAAATCGAATCGGACCGAACTGAATTAATCCAAAACGGATCGAATCGACTGAATGTACACCCTAATTCAGTCTTCTTTACTAGTGGTTAGTTTGCATTAAAATAGTGGCACCTGTAGCCATCAAATTCTGGATTCGCCTTTGCATATAAATAAGACATGCCCGCTTAACCGCTACCCTTCTACCCTAATTCTCAACCTACATACCTTCCTATCAAGGATCATGCCTTCAGTAATTAAGCTGAAGTAGCGCCATGTCATACCTAATCATCTCTCCCCAATAATTCGTTGGCCTATCTATTTTACGATCCATTTTCTTCCCTTTTTCCCTCTGAAAATAGAATAGTTTTCTTTACGCCTTCTTGGCCACTAGCTCCCATTTTATCTTCACTCCTCCTGCTCTAATTTATTTGCAGCATTAGGTCAACTTCTTTCTACTATTTTCATGATTAAAATGGAATGGCCTTAGTTATTTTTACTCTGAGATAAAGTCCATTGGAACTTATTTGAGTTGACATGCTTATTCTCGTGTTAAATTCGTCTTTTGGTTTTTTTTTTTTTTAATAGGATACCGTTCCATGATCAATTCAGATCAGATTAGCATTTTGGGCGTTTCTTATTTGTAGTTACAAAAGAAATAGGATTTAGGTGTTATCAACAAGCTTGGTAAATTATAAGTAGAACGAGTTATATATGGAGACTAGATAAAAGAAATTGTTGGTAGCGCAAACATAGTCTTACATTGGTAGCTGAAAGATTGGGAATCTACGTGTAAGAATCTCTTAATAATATGAAGTCCTTTGATAAAATCGGGCTTAGCCAAATAACAGTGGCAGGCACGTTCATGGTGTTCAAACCGAACCGACAAATTGCATCAACCCAAAAAGTCAATCCAAACCGATTAAAAATCCCGATTAGATTTGGTTTGATTTGGTTGGGTATTGAGTAGAAAAATTCGGACCAAACCGACATATAAACGACATATAAAAATATAATTTTTATATATACTTTTAAGACTTTATATCAATTTTCTTTAAGAAATATTTGAAATCCTCTCATGTGATGTAATATTTAATAGAATTATGAAGTGCATTCATTTTTATTTACTTTAAATAATAGTAGGTTGTACCATCACTTTGTGTTATGGAAATACATCAATCTCTTTGCAGTTCTTCTATATTCATATGTCAAAATCTATTAAATTCTTGTATCTTTTTCGAATTTGAAATAGTATTTCAACAATTTAAATTAAATAGAACATATCACTATTTAGGTATTATATTGATGAATTTTATGTTTAATTATTAAATTCGGTTAACCTTGAAAGCATACGTCGATGAAAATTTATTGTTAGACGACTAAGAAAATAATTATCATGTATTACTAAAGAAATTCTCCCATAAGAATATTTAATAGATAATATTTTTATTAGTTTTTTCAAATTTTACTGAATATATATTCACTAATTCTCAAAGCTTTATCCGTAATTTTAATAAAGTAAGATTGAAATAATATTTATTTAACAAAAAAAATCCGAAAAACCCAGAATATTTTATGTTTATTAACATCATCGCTCCTCTTGTACGGTTTCATTATAACATGTTAAGGTACTGTTTACATCGGCATCGAGCAATTCATGTTCATGTTGCTCACTACAAAAAAAAAAAAAAAAAAAAAAAAAAAAAAAAAAAAAAAAATAGAATTAGCTGTGAATTTCGTCGCTAATCTGTCGCCACATCGATCGTAGCTGATAGAATTTTTTGATAATATATCATTAATCCATCACTAAATAGAGTCATCGATGAATTTATTTTGTTTAGCTACAGAATTTGTTTGTTGCTAATTCTTGTTTTTATTTACTACGAATCGACTAGTTAAAGAAGATAAAACGAGTGGATGCGCATGCAATTGCAGGATGTACAGAAATCTGATCTCACCCGTTTATTTTCGTATTAGTTAATTCTAACAGGAAAATAAAATATTACTTGCAATTAATAGTTATGATAGATAATTAGGATGGATAATTAAGATTTAAGACCCATGTTCTCGTTATCAACATGAGTTGTGGTGGGATGGATAAGATCCCTCTGTACTTAATTAGATATTTCGGGTTCGAGTGATGGGTATGAAAAAAATCCTGTTGGGGCGCGCTTCCCCCTTAGATGGGCCTTACATGGCGTGAATCCGAACATAGTCGTGCTCCAATACGGATACCGTACACGAAAAAACAAAACAAAACAAAAATTATGCGTTCTCAATTTAAGATTTTCAATAAATTATTGTTACGACCAATTAGTTGGGGACCATGAGTGGCATACTCAACGAGTAAATACCTCATCTTAATTTAACAATCTAAACACATACTCAACAAGCTAATGCCATGCCCTACAACTCGTCTCCTATAAGCAAGTCTTTACACACAATTAGCAAAAACTCAGAAGAAGTGTAAACATAATTCAAACTTAACACAGATAAATCCTTATTACAAGCTTAACTCCATTCAGAAAAATTCTAGTTGAATAGAAACTATGTTACTCAGCCCTTTATATCTCAATCTCTGTTCATGATCCTCCATCTGTAAACATGTAAAGAAGAAGGGGATGTTAGAGAAACAATAATTGGAAAACGGGATTGAGAAGGCTTGAGGCGTGAGAACGACTTTCCTTAAAGAAGTTATTGCATGTATACAGATTTGGAAAAAATACAGACAATCTTTTTCACGATACAACAAGCCACTATTTGATACTTGCATATTTTTCTGAATCTCTTTGTAGGGAATCTTACGTTTATTTATAGAGCAAAAGTCATGCCTTTTACAAAAAGTCACCTTATTTCATTAACATGTGTGCCTGTTTATTTGGATTTTTAATTCAAATAAAACTGATTTTCTGTTATATAAATAAAAATACAAATATTAATTTAATAACCGGTCTGGCCCAAGCCAAAGTCCAAATATTTATTTAATATTTAATAATAATAATAATAATAATAATAATAATAATAATAATAATAATAATAATAATAATAATATATACAAGTACTTACGCATACACTTAATAGTGTGTATTCTTAGGCAAATATAAAATGAACAAGAACTTACAGAGGATGAGTCCTTTTTTCTTTTTTCTTTTTGGTTTCCTACTCCGTGTCTAGTACCTGCTTTGGGACGTAACGAATTTGCGCAAGAAAGTTCCGCTTTAGAGGATAAAGAACTCCCTACCAATCTATAATCAACTCGAACCCGAAACCACTGATTAATCATACTGCGTTCTTCACTATTTGAAAGATAATCATCAAAATGACAACTTGATTTTTTATAATTTTTTTTGCAATTAATTACCAGTAAAAAAATCTAGATTTTTTGTAATTCAACCTCCGCTACCAATAAAATAGTACCAAAGAAATTGAGATGGATGAAATAATAATTTTGTGCTGAAGTTTACCAGGCCCTGATTTTGATGGGTCAGCGTGAATTCCTGGAGTATACATCTTCGAACGACGTGGCACTGCAAATTTAAGGGACAATCCTTCTCCAATTTTATAGCTATCACCTCTATAACCTAAATCCAAAGATGATTTAAATTATAATACAGCAGAATTAAATCGGCTATAATCTAAATACAAACTATTATGCTAGTAGTTTCATTTTATATAACAGTGTTTGTCTGCATATAAAATATCAGAAAAAAGGAATTTTGTTTTTACACATAATATGTGAAACATACCAGAAATGCACTTAGAACTTATTTATATGCAAAAACATGGATTAAATAAAATAAATCTCTCTTTGTGCCAATTTGCCCATCTTTATTTCAAGAGCCAATTTTAACAAATATTTACCAGAAATATTTATTAGATAGCAGTTACAGGGGCCAAAACACTTTTTTTTTTTTGCAGAATTGTTTTCTCACAATTAAAATTGCAAATCCAAATACTCGTAAAAGAACAAAACGAAAACCAAATTATACACATTATTAACTCTTAATAACAATAAATTGGACAAAAAGTTAGGACCAAAAAGAAATTATCACACTTCAGTAAGGGATTACTAAACCTGATAATTTCCGAGAGGATGTTGTTGAGGATAGACAAAGAATTAAGACAAAAAAGGCTAAGAAGAAAAATGAGAATGTTTTGTAATTCATGGCTTCAAAAGCTATGAGGAAGAGAAGAAGATCAAGTTGGAGAGAAAAGGGATAAATTCTCTAAAATATGACTATATGAGGGTGCTTAATCAATTAAGTAGCTTATATACTAATTTTTTTTATAGTGAGTTTAACTAATATTCACCAACAGTGTAAATTATTTTTGCACTATCAGATCACTATTAGGGGAGCCTTGGTAGCATTGGTGTAACTGATAAAATTGATGTCATGTGCAGAGGCGGAGCTAGCCTTTTGGCTACGGGTTCGGCCGAACCCAGTAGCTTTTGTATAAATCATATATTTGTCTTAAGAAATCTATTGAATATGTATAAATTATTTATTTAGAACTCAGTGACTTAAGAAAACTAAAATCTTGAACCCATAAACTTCAAATCCTAGCTACGCCTCTAGTCATGTGAACAGGAGGCCACGGGTTCAAGGCGAAAAAACAACCTCTTGCAGAAATACAGGATAAGACTACGTACAATAGGCTCTTGTGTTCCGGTCCTTCCCTGCCCATGGCGGGAGCTTAGTGACCGGGCTGCCTTTTTTTATCATCTATTATAGCAGATAACTTGCTTCACGTTCAAGAATACAAATTTTACTTTTTATATATAATAACATGTAAATATTTGGTGACTTGATAGTATAAATTTTATTTTTGCACTATTAGTATATGCTAAACTCTTTTTATAATTTTTCTCAACAGGCATTACTCTTAGAAAATTATCACTTTCTTTTCTCGTTTAGGGGGCTTGACTTGGAGTCTTCTTGGACTAACACTTAAAAATCATAACACTACAGTTGGTCCACTTTAAGTCTTCTTTCTTTTTTCTTTTTCTTTTTTAGTTTAAGTCTTCTCAAGTTGATGACTACGAAATACCACACTTTCAAATTTTTACTTTGCAGGATCTAGTCAAATAATAAATAAATATTACAAGAATTTATTTCGTAATTGTTTTCTACTTTACATTATCAAGAAATCCATTTTATTAAATTTTGCTGCAAATTTCCGGTAAATAATTGTTGTAATATAGAAGCTGATAATGTTGACTTACTGTATGAAAAATTTGATAGTAGCAAACCTGTTATTGTATGTGAAGGAAAGAAAAGTGGACAAAATAAAAGAAAGAAAAATCAAAAAGAGATGAACTTATGATGTAAGCGTTTACATCGACATTCTTATGATTTCTTGACTTGGAAACAGCCTCTCTACCCCAGGGTAGGGGTAAGGTCTGCGTACACAATATCCTCTCCAGACTCCACTAGTGGGATTATACTGGGTTATTGTTGTTGTTGTTGTATCCCTCAACTTCTTCTTTCTCTCTTCAATTAATAAAGAGTTATTCTTTGTGTGGCCGTGGTGTAGGCAAAATTATCGAACCACGTAAATCTTGTCTTATCTTATGCAATTTATTGCTTTTCTATTTCAAATATTTTTCCCTTCTATTAGCCTGACACATTTTCCAACAACTGGTATCAAAGCACAAACAGTATAATTCTGGTAGAAAAGTACGGTATCGGTGTAGGTGTTATTCTCAAGAATAGTGCGACATTATTGATCATCGTTACTACTCACATGCACTATTCACATAAATTATTTTTGTGAAAAATAGCATCGGAAGAAGGGAAGGTTAAGATTGACAAGTTCAATGGCAAAGATTTTGGATTCTGAAAAATACAAATAGAGGATTATTTGTACCAGAAAAAGTTACACTTACCTCTGACCGAGATAAAATCAGAGAATATGGCCAAAGCGAATTGGGATCTATTAGATCGCCAAGCTCTTGGTGTGATTCGATTGACGCTAACACGACATGTGGCGTTTAACATCATTTACGAGAAGACCACTGCAGGCGTGATGAAGGCATTATCAAATATGTACAAGAAGCCATCTGCTTCAAATAAAGTCTATTTGATGCGTCGATTGTTCAACTTAAAGATGACAGAAGGTGGATATGTTACGGAATATATCAATGAGTTTAATGTAATATTAACTCAGTTGAGTTCTATCAATATAACATTCGATGACGAAGTCAGTGCATTGATTCTACTATCATCTCTACCGAAGAGTTGGTCTGCAACAGTAACTGCAGTTAGCAGTTTATCGGGAAGTACCAAACTCAAATTGGATGATATTAGAGACTTTATTCTAAGCGAAGATATTCGCCGAGAGAATCAAGTGATTCCCCTGGATCTGCTTTGAATACCGAAAGCAGGGGGAGAAACAACCAAAGTGGATAAAGTCATGGTCGTGGCAGATCAAAGTCAAGGATAAGAGGGCAATTCAAAAATTGCAAAGACATTATGTGTTGGAATTGCGATAAAAAAGGCCACTACAGTAGTTAGTGTAGAGAGCCAAAGAAGAAGAAGAACGATCAATACAAGGATGATAATTCAGCAAATGCAATTGCTGAACAAGTCGGTGATGCACTAATTTGTTGTGCACACAGTCCAGTCGAATCTTGGATTCTCGACTCAAGTGCATCCTTTCACTATACATCATGCAAAGAATTATTGCATAATTATATTGCTGGAAAATTTGGGAAAGTTTATCTAGCAGACGGCGAACCTCTGGACATTGTAGGGAAAGGTGAACTTCATATAAAGACTTCACAAGGCACGCTATGAAAATTGCAAAATGTCTGACATGTTCCTGGCCTCAAGAAAAATTTAATATCTATGGGTCAGATTGATAATGAAGTATATACAACAACATTCGGTAACAGATCGTGAAAGATAACCAAAGAAAATTTGGTTGTTGCACGAGGTTTCAAGAAGGAAACGTTGTATGCAACTGCAATACAACGAGATACTATTGCAACAGTTGATCATGGTCATGATACAACATTGTGACACCGGAGGCTCGGGCATATGAGTGAGAAGGGAATGAAGTTGTTGGCATCCAAAGAAAAGTTGCCAAACCTAAAGCATGTTGAATTAGGTTTGTGCGAAGATTGCATTTACGGAAAACAAAAGAGAGTTAGTTTCTCAAAGGTGGGAAGGACGCCAAAGAAAGAGAAGCTGGAACTAGTGCATACAGATGTGTGGGGACCAACACCTGTAACTTCTCTGGGAGGCTCACTCTATTATGTCACCTTCATTGATGATTCCATAAGAAAGGTATGGGTTTATTTTCTGAAAAATAAATCTGATGTGTTTATTACCTTTAAAAGATGAAAAGCTGAAGTTGAAAATCAGACAAGTCTAAAGTTAAAATGTCTGAAGTCTGATAATGGAGGAGAGTATGATAGTCAAGAGTTTAAAGCATTCTGCTCTGAGAATGGGATTAGAATGATCAAGGCAGTTCCTGGAACACCGGAACAAAATGGCATTGCTGAGAGGATGAACAGAATCCTGAATGAACGAGCGAGAAGTATGAGAATACATTCTGGATTGCCGAAGTATTTTTGGGCTGAAGCTGTTAACACGGCATCTTACCTCATAAACATGGGACTCTCTGTACCGCTGGATTTTGAAATTCCTAAGGAGGTATGGACAGGAAAGGAGGCAACTCTCTCACATCTGAAAATTTTTGGTTGTGTTGCTTATGTGCATGTAAATTCTAATGATAGAGATAAGCTTGACCCTAAGGCCAAGAAATGTTTCTTTATTGGCTATGGGTGATGATAATTTTGGTTATCGATTTTGGGATGATCAAAATAGAAAGATCCTAAGAAACAGGAATGTCACATTTAATGAAAATGTGATGTACAAAGACAAGCTTGAAGTAGAACCAACCAGCACCAGTAGACATTGATGTACAAAGACAAGCTTGAAGTAGAACCGTAATGACCCGGCCGGTCATTTTGACTATTGCAATCCTGTTCTCCCAATTACTGCTCAAATTGTGAATTACAGTTGTTATTTGGCTTGCCGGGGTAATTGGTTTGGGTTCGGTGAGATTTTGAAATAATTTGGAGAGCTTAGTTCCAAGGTTTAGAATTTAAGTTGAAAAGATTGACCGGATATTAACTTATGTGTAATGACCCCGAAGAAAATTTTGCTAAGGAAATTAAGGTTTAGTGGTGCCGAGATAGATCAATTAGTACAAAGATTATAGAAATTTCTCGTGGCAAGCTTGTGAGCTGCGGCTCGGACTTTGTGGGTTGAACAATGCGCCGATGTGTAAAAGAAAATTTTGTCGGAAAAGGGTCATTTCTGCGACCAATATGTGATCGCAGAATCACTCTGCGGACCGCATAATGGTCGCAAAGTGGATCAGGTGAGGGGCGAGATTTGAGAAAAATCTGCGGTGCATTATGCGACCGCAGAACAAGTATGCGGACTGCATAATGACCGCAGACTGGGTCAGTAACGCCCAGCTTTGGAGGCCAAATTATGCGGCCAGTATGCGGACCGCATACCTGTTATGCTATCACATAACTGCGTCGGAGCTTCTATTCTTTCTAATTTTTGACCCGACCCAACTTCGATTTATAGCCCTTGAAGCTCAGTTTTTAACCAAAATCTGATATTTTAGAGAGATGTGAGAGCATTTTAGAGAGAGAAAGTGAAGACTTAGTCATTTATCCATCAATTTTTGTTCAAGGTTTGAAGATATCACAAGGATCTTGCTAGGACTTCAAAAAGGTAAGAATTTCTTTCCTCAATTCTTCGATTTCGGGCTTGGAGTAAATATGGGTGATTAATAGTATAATTCTTGGGTGTAAGAGTATTATGTATACATACCAATAAGGTCGTGGAAGGATTGTTAAGTTCAAATGGGTAAGAATTGGGTTGAAAATGGTAGAAATCTTCATAGACTTTAATTGAAGATTTGAGGGTCGAGTTGATGTCGGATTTTGGTAAAATTTATATGGTTGGACTCGTGGTTGGATGGGCGTTCTTACTCTGTAACTTTTATTGGGTTTCGATATGTGGGCCTTACGGGCAATTTTTGAGTTAATTTCGGATTTTATTAAAAAAAATAGTATTTTCTTATAGAATTAATTATAATAATTAGAAACTTAGAATTCTCAATACGAAAAAGGGTCATATATGCCAGTGAACTATGCGAATTAGGAAAGATATGCCCGTCGTTAATAGTTTGGCACAGATATGCCA